ATTTAGATTACCATGTCGATTACATAATCGATAAAGCCTTCCTCCAACTGTATGGTTTCATCATGAGATCCTCTAAAGACTTTAAACGGTCATCTACTTTATTAATTCTATATAAATCATTCATTCGTTCACAATTAAAATAAGCTGCACCAATCTGGAGTCCTTTCTTCAAAAAAAAATTATAAATTGGAAATGATCCAAAATAATTTTACGCAATATCCATTATGTCTTACCATTCTATAATTCCATACAAACAATTATTATATAAACAGTATAAACTACTAAGTTTAAATCTCGACGCTCACTTATTATCGCCATTATGCTGCATGGGTTGTGTAATAACAAGTTTGATTGTAGTTACATCAGCAATAATTTATATCATACTGTACCGAGAACTGTAATTCAGCGTGTAATGCGAGCTCCTCGTTTGTTTTACTCCATTAGGTATAAAACAAACGCTGGAGCGCGAGCACCCCTCCGCCTGTTAGATAATTATAACACACACTTCACAGAATGTGACATTTTTGCTCTGTCATCTACAACGTTTAAAAGAATGATAACTAAGTTGCTAACTGACTATACTGATATATAAATTATGTATTAATTAGCATAACTTCCTACACTGTCATAAATTGCGCAATTATATATTAAACGTAAGACTAAGCATATAACACCACTTTGTGCACATTGTTGTGGGTTACAGGTTAAGTACTCCTAGTATAAATTAACTATCTTGTAATATATTAATATGTAACTATTTTTGTAAAATGAAATAAAAAAAATATCAGCAACGTATCACGTTTGAGAACTACGCTAAAGTTAAACAAAAATCTGTTAAAAAAATTATTTTAATATCCTTTAAAATTTCGTCGCTGTTAACGTATCGTATTAATAACATAGGATATTTTTATTCAGAGGTTGACTTTGATGTTATACGCCCGCAAGTCTATCACTAACAAAAACCATTCAGTACTCTAAATCTGGAAACACGTACGAGTATATATACTTTTAATCTCATTTCAATCTTTAATTATTTATAGATAAAAAAAGAATATCGTATGCACATGTTGCGAACACTTTCTTACATTCAAGTTATTATATAGTGATTGAAACCTAGAAAAATATAGGGGTGCTAAGAATCTCCGGTCCGAAGAAAGGGGGATGACATGTATCAACGGGAGGGCGACCATCTGTCCCAAGGAGGTGTCGGGTTTATCGTCCACAAGTCTCTCGTTAACAACGTTGTAAACATTGATAGTGTGTCGACGAGGGTTGCGTACCTTATACTCAGAATCACCAAACGGTATTCGCTGATGGTTATACGGGTTTACGCACCAACATCGGCACATCCCGACGAGGTGGTGGAGGAAATGTATGAGGATATATCTAGAGCCATGCATTCCTCCAAAACCCACTACACGGTGTTGATGGGAGACTTCAACGCAAAACTAGGCACAAGAGAGAACGGTGAGCTGAAGGTAGGGAAATTTGGAATAAGGCAACGGAATCCAAGGGGCCAGCAGCTGGCCAACTTCATGGAGAAAGAGGGACTCTTTACGATGAACTCTTTCTTCCAGAAGCAGCCTCACAGGAAGTGGACTTGGTCGAGCCCCAACGGTTTGACGAAAATTAGATTGACTTCATTATGACGACTAGACGACAACTGTTCAGTGATGTCTCAGTGATCGCGAGGGTGAAAACTGGTAGCAATCACCGAATGGTTAGAGGTACACTGAACCTAAACCTTAAGTTGGATAGGTCTCGTCTAATGTGGTCAACGCTCCGTCCCCCTCGTGCTCTAATCCAAATTCCCGAAACCTTTCAGCTCGAGTTACAAAACCGTTTTCAGTGTCTAGAAGACTGCAATGAAGTGGACGATATGAATCATAAGCTCGTGGAAAGTGTCCATGCGGTTGGAGCTAACTTTTGCAAGACCCGCCGCAGAAGAACACAAAAACTCTCCGATCATACTCTTAATCTCATGGCTGTTAGACGGAAAATGGAGCTGTAATCTTCAGTAGGTTTGACAGCTCTATGCTGCAACTGAATAAACAGATCTCTAAATCCATGCGGCGGGACTTACACGACTTCAATACAAAGTTGAAGACCGAGTGTGGCAGCATCGTTTCCGGGACACCTGATATTTTGAGATTGAGAGGTTTTATGGGCAGCTTTACATATCACCGTTGGAGCCACACGTTTTAACGTGGTAGAGCTATGTTGCAGCTATATTCATAGTATAGTTGTAGCACGAATGGGTCCATACTACTGAGTGTTGCAACTAGTAACATGAGTAACAAACTAATAACTCATCATTCCCCATCAGTACCCTAGGCCGCGAACTTTTCAGCCGCCCTGGTACATTATTATGTTTTGCTATAGAAAGATAGCTTTAACTATTTTTATGGCTTCATATTTCTAGTTATTTTAATAAAAATATTTGTTTGACAAGAGTAAATAATTTTTGTTAAACTGAGCCAGGGAATTATACTGTCATCGGCTACATCACCATTAAGCATTGGGTGTGACAATAGGCAAGCAAAATGAATCTCTGCCGAATATACTTTAAAGTTAGTAATGCTTAATTTTCTTGCAATCATCATTGCAATATCTCATAAAATAAAACACTTCACACATGCACTCACATAGAGTGACGTCAAAACTAAATCTAATAAAACGTTACTTTAGGATTATTTACCACAAAAAGAAAGTGATGGAACCCTGTAGGATAATTTTGTTGTCCATCCATCCGTCCATCCATTTGTGCAGCTGTCAAAACCCTATTCTCTGGAACGGGTAGAGGTATCAAGTTGAAATTAATACAACTACTAAGATCTACGATTCCTTGAGGAGATTTCAAGATTCAAGCATATAAGTTAACACAATCAAAAGTGTTATTTAATAAAGATGCATTTTTACTCGGACGCGTTATATCATTTTTTGTGACTATCAACTGATAGAGTCTAAAAGTTTTCAAAAGTTATCGCCGTAGTCGAAACTGTTCCTAGCCTAATACCTTTAAGCCTAGTAGCCTCTTCACTTCTTTTTTGCCTTGGAGTCATGATTTCATCTAGGTTAATACTATAATCTTGCCAATTTCTTCCATCGATCAGCAGTATATATCCACAGTCCCGTTCCGGTTTGAATAATAATTTCTTCACCATCACTGAACTCCAATAACCATTTACAATCGGATGTCCTTTGTCACTCAAATATTATAAGGAAAAGAGTACATCATCATAATAATTTTGGCAAATAACCTGATTCCAGAAATTGTGATTGGTAGGTCCTAGGAATTAATCAACAAATTATATTTAAAAAAAAAACAAGTTTTAACAAAATGAGTATAATTGTATTAAGCATTCATAGCAGCAGCATTTATACAACTCAATCAGGAAACACTGTCTAATTCACTTCTGTACAAACTGCGTTAATAATTAAATTAACTTAAATCCACGTTTTAATTCTATCATATTATTTTCAAATAATATTAATAATAATATGCATTTATGTACTAATTAAAATTAAATTGTAACATATACTAACGCGAGACTAGATTTTTAGTTTGGATCGTATGGAAGCCTTATGTACGAGTTTAACATTGAAGTTTTACAGTCAGGACTTTTAATTATTGTCCAGATTATCTACAAAATTAATTTTTAATTTAAATTCAATTTCTAATAATTACCCGCTCAAGTATAAAAAACTATAATTTCTACTTATTTTTTATTTAATGGATATATAAAATATTGATAATAATTCCTTTTAATTTTAAATCCGTATAACATTTCACATTTTCATTGATAAAAACTCAAAGTGGGAAATAAAACTAGCACATTTTCACATCTTTTTCCTCGACAAATACTGAGCAAATATTTTTAAATATAAAAGAACTCACACTATAAGAAAAAAATACATAAAAATAAATCTTTAAGAATTAATTAAGTCAGCTCACCACAAGAAAACTTTGTTTCAAACACATGTCACTTCTTTTTCTGTAATTGGCACGCAACCTGACTCGCATACCAAGGATGAGTCCGTGCGTTCACAGAAATATTTGGCATTCTTACTCATTTAGGTACGAATATCCAAAATTAGAAGCTACTTCAACACACGTACGCCAGCATAGATAGCGCATTCAGCTCGCAGTATATATATTCAATATATTATATATATATTCAATAGTATTTAGAGTATGCTAATAATATACAAAGTGAAATGTTTCCCTTTTTTATATTAATCTCCATTTTGCATTTTTAAAATATTATACTATTTAGGACTACAATTTATTTAGTGCAATGACAATTGTTTTTTCTGCAATTCGAAATTGGTAATTCTTTCAAAACATCCTCACACATTAATTAAAATATCAATAAAATTAAATAATAAACAATTTAAATTTTAAAACAATACGATAATATTACCCCGTAATAACTTTCAAAATTTCCTTTTGATTACAAAGTCTCTATTGTTATACAAACATATTTTCATCCACACCATAAATAATGCTTTGTTATAATAAGGAAGTTTATAAAAGGAAGTTATACAAATTTTGACTTATTGTTTCTCTTTAATAAGAATATTGTGATTTTTTTCCTAGACGACTGAAAACAATAAAAATATATAATAGATAAACAATTGTACAACTTTCATTTCATGACTGAGTAGGCATTGCGGATATTTTGCACAGCTGCTGTCAGTGTCTGAACAATTACTAACGAAGCTAGGCAATTCGCTCAGGATTTTTCAGCAGAAAAATTAAATGTTTTCTTTTCCATCTTGAGCATTAAGCGTTTAATGAATCGTTTAATATAAAACGACTCCAGTTTAAACAAGATTTAATAAATTACATCCGACATTACGGAAATAGTGCGTCACCATTAATATTTTATTTTGTTTACAAATACTTCGGATGTAAAAGCAATTCCAACGAAATCGTGTAAATCATTAATTTTTCATCATTACATTTCAAGATCAAAACGTCATTCTTGACTATGACACTAAACTGAAGATTCATAAATTACTATTTGAACAATTGGTGGTTTCTGAGGGCTCTGAACAGGTGTGGTGATATCTCTAATGACCGCTTCCACAGCAGCCTCCCACTCCAACCGACGCTTCTCCGCTAATGCATCTTTACCACCACTGAACCTAGGCATAGTGACCTAAAACAAATATAAATGGTGGCTAGTCAGATTATTTTAGGCGATTATGATTCCCTCAGATAATATGCCTCCGGGTAAATAACCCTTTCTCCTTGCCCCCTTTGGAGACCAGTTTTTGAAATAATAAGCTAATATAAGATAAATTAAACAATAAAAATTGGTTAAAATGAGAAATGTCAAAAATAATTCTTAATATTAATTTCACAATAATTTTAATAATGAGTTGAATTTAATTAATAAATAATCAAAATTTTATTTAAACTTATTAATCTAATACTAACTGTTAAATATTTTGAAAGCAATAAGCAATACATGAAGCATGAATACTCGTATTAATTAGCATGTAAAACTAACTCTAATAATAGAAATGAATGCATTCAAATAAAATTATTTTTACTGTAGCACAAATGTGTCGGCTAGACCGGGGAAGAACCACGCTGTCACAAAATACCAGCATGTAATAGCTGTTTAATGCTGCTGTGTTTCGTATAGTAAAGTTTCGAAAATCGATGACCCTTTTTTTACTGGAAACGAGACATTCCATCTTAATCCTCAGGAGTGTCAACGCATCTCCATTTTGATTCTTAATAGAGGATAGATGAAGATGTCTATGGGCCACAGAATCCACTTAACGCACAGGTGGACTGCGTGCTCGTTTGTCGTTCTTATTCTAAAAAGAACTGGTGATTTCTTCTTAAAGATTTTCTGATTTCTAAAAACGTATGTTTTTGTCGAAACAAATAAAATTAATAATGACATTACACTCTTCTTTCATGATATATAGGTATAGATTATCTGCGTAAGCGTTCCAAGAATGCGCCGCAAAATTAACGTAACAGTAGCAATATAATTTTAACTTCACAGTTCAGTCATTCGATCACAATCAAGAACAACCCAAAAACATCCAAACTAATAAGTGTTATTATCACTGTGATTTGATGCAATGTCCTAAGCAGTCACTCTTATAAAACAGGACCGGCTCATTCATTCAATCATTAAATTGCTTAGACGTGTTTAGGTTCAATGTCCTACCTACCAGAAATATTTCACGTTTTTAAAGATTGTAGACATATAACTTTAGCAATTTAAAAATGTAGTGATTTAAAAATTAATCCCATATTTAAAAATGTAGTGATTTAAAAATTAATCCCATATTTAAAAATGTAGTGATTTAAAAATTAATCCCATAAATGCAATAAGTACAATCGTTTAAATTATATGATTACCTACAAAAACAAAATTATTTCTCTCCTTCAGAACTACTGTGCAAAGCAGTGGGACGTATATAAGTTGTAACTATATTCTTTATTCCCACATGACAAAATTAACAAGGCCCAAAGAATGTGGAACATTCTTGAATATGTGTGAGTGATGACCTATTTTCGCTTTTAGGAAGTTAGTATGTAGATCATTTTATTTCACCCTCCTTTTTCAATACTAGACAACCAGATAATCGGCGGGTTTCCACCATTTTTTTGTCAATATTTAACGCATTCGGACTAAACTGTTGGCTTCGTCTTTTGTATTGCATACGGCACAGGACTGGAATAACGTACCGGTATCTGTGTTTTCGTCCGATTACAATCTCGATGTCTTCAAGATTCAAAGCAAAAGTAAATAAGCTTTATTATGCTAACACAGTGCGGCTTATCATCTAGGGTTCTAGGGATTGAATAGGTGGGATTTTAGTCAAGCATTAAGTTTTAAAAGATTTTTCTAAGCATCTGAGTATCTTGCACAGCGGCTATTTTAAGTAATTTCTTATTGTCAGGACACGCAGCGGGTGCCAGATTTTCGGCGCTGTAGCACTTACCAGGACGCAGGTTAAGAGTACTGCAATACGACACCACGTAAGCAAGTTTGATGTGTGATGTTATTGTGTTGTCGTAAATGAAGATGTCATGACTTTTACTTTTATATCAGATTAATACAGAAATCGGTTCCCTTCCAGAAAAGGAATGTAGTGATGATGAAGAAATAAGGCCTGCCACATACATACAGAATTCCGTTTCGGGATTCCGTTTCGATATTCCGATTCGAGATTCCGATTCGTATAAAACCTGTGACCCGTCACATACGTACGGTAGTTTTTCGTTCGAAATTTTGCGGGCAAAACGGGATTCCGTATGTGTATGGCCGACCTAAGTTATTAGCCACCAACTCACAATTTAGACAACCATGAGAAACTAGGCTTCGAAATTCCAGCATGTTCCTCAGACATATTTTAGCACTTAATTAATCAAGTTATTACGGAAAAAATAAAGGCCGACCTAAGTTATTAGCCACCAACTCACAATTTAGACAATCATGAGAAACAGGACTTCGAAATTCCAGCATGTTCCTCAGACATATTTTAGCGCTTAATTAATCAAGTTATTACGGAAAAAATAAATATAAGTAGTCTAAAAATCTAGCAGTACTTTCACGTACTCTTCAACTTTAATGTAGTTTTTTGTTAAATATTAAAAAAAGTTATAATATTGTGATCTCTTTTAGTAAGAAAAATTATTTGAATAAAATCTAGCTAATTATATAAAATTGTATTTGTTATATACATATTGAAACTTGCTGGCTAAAAGCCGCTGTCACGACACCAGTGACGTAAGTTAAATTTACGATACCAGTTAACGATTAAAATAACTAAAAAGCCTATTATAACGCTCGGTATGTTCAAGGTTTTTAAACAGTTCCCGTTTCCTTTGATTTATTATCATCATCATCGTCATTACAGCCCATCACTGCTAGGAAACAAGCCTGTCCCAAGGAATGCCACAAGGCATTCTATAGGTAAACCAGATGTAAATTTAAAATCCAATTAACTCTTCATGTGACCCACTTTTGTTTTTAACCGACTTCAAAAAGAGGTTCTCAACTCGAGTGCATTTTTTTATGTTTGTTACCACATAACTTTTTTCTAAGTGAACTAATTTTTATGATTATTTTTTATTTGAAAGCTGGTGCTTCTCCCTGTAGTCTTTTTTTTGTTTTGAATTTGTCAAGGTCTGACCAGTGGTTTTTGAATTATACTTGATAATTTATATTGAAGTCGGTTGCACAAAATTTTTAATTTTACCACTTGTATCAGATACAATTTACACTAAAGAATTGAAATAATGTAAGCTGCTTTATCATGGACGCATACCGATCGGGAAAATCTTCGTGGAGGTCGTTTTAACTCTGACGCATTTTTATAACAGTTTTACAATCATCGAATGGAAAACTTATAAAAACATACCATATAACATTAGACTTTTAGTTTGTTGGCTGTCGATTGCATTGAATTATTTTCGTAATATATTATATGAATCATAAATAAAATTCTACGTAATATTTTATTGGTCGGCATTTTATTTTCAAGCGATAAAAGATGCTTTTTATGTATGTGCATTACTACGATACTATGTATAAATGACGTTGGTATTAAACCAGTACTAATTTCTACGTTAAACTGAAAGCGATATAATTTATAAAAATATAAGTAAACAAGAGATAGCATCGTAATTCAAAATATTCAGCTACTCATTCGCAACGTGTTGAAAAAATACAAGGCCAAAACTATTAGAAACTTTGTTTAAGCCATTGCAGTTAAGCTATTTTATGGCCATAATTAGAAGCTTTATAACAAATTAATGTTGCAAAGAAAAATTTATCCAAGTAGCTTTATTCAGTGATACTTTTAAACGTTACGCCAACCAGCTCTTACCATTTTCAAAGTTAAAAAAGTCGAATATTGACAACGTACCGGTAAAGTTAATGGCTTCTTATTGCCGCCCTCATTCTGAAATAGTTGAATGATGTAAACGTAGACGAAAATTTTCTTTTTAAAATTATCATTTAGTTAAAAACGTAAATACGTAAAATGTTCTATCTGCCGCTTATTTGCCGCGCTCACTTAACGTAGAGGTGAATTATATAGAAATTGATAGAAATTGTTACTCGAGGTAGGTAGTTCAAACCAACACGAAAACCAAAAAAAAAACAACTGTAGTCTTAAATTTCTCTGATTCAAAATTCGAATTCGGCAACTGTCGTAAACCATCTCCTAGCACAAGCAGTTTTGGCAGCTGATTTTAGTGCTTAAAAAGAATACTATTAATGTTAATCACAAATTAAAAAGTCACTGTAAAAACAGTCAAAACAAAGTTTAAAAGCTTTATCAACCTTTGATCGAATCATAATTATGAAACGTGTGTACACACGTACACTATTTTATGTATGCTATAAATCACGCGTCATAAATACTCGACTCTAAAGTACATGTTATTTTGAATACGCTGCTAAGTGGAACTCGCACTTTAATATAAAATAATGCTTGTTTTATTTCAAACAATAGAGCCGTTCTGGCCGGTTTAATAGGGCACTAAAACTAAAAGGGTGTTCCAATGTAGCCGTAGCTACACTCGACGACCTCGATCTGGACTTACTTGAACAGGTTGTTTTAATTAGACATCAACGAACTTATAAAAATATAACATTACCTAAACATTGATTTACAGGAACAATTACGATCAACTCCCTAATTACGTTGATTTTCTCATCAATAAAAAAAATTACTACTTCTCCTAATTTTTATAAAGACTGCAAACAGGTATTAACGTAATTCAAAGAACTTTGTTCACATGTACGATATCTTTATACAGATAATATAGTTACTATTTTTTTATATAAATATACAATATTTGGAGCTATGATAGCTCATAATGAGAGCTCGCATTAACATTTCAAAATAGGCAAGCAAAAAAGTTCGATCTGCATACGTATTACTATTAATGAAATTGGAAAAATTAATGAAATTGGTAATTGCTTTATTAATTACTGAATACCGCATAATTGAGAAATAAATACATCCGTGAACATAATAAGTTACAATGGCGCACATCTACTCTTGCTCAAAACCCTCGCGGAAAATAGAAGTGAGTAGTTAGTTTACTTTAAGTGTACCATTAAGGAGAGAAGCCGTCAGAGTGCTGCTTACGTATGCGGACAGCAAAATATTATATACTCAAATAATAATTTTTAATTTTATTTTTAAGGATAGGCAGATTTCTTGAAAGTGAGTTCTTGTATCTTATATGCTTAAAATTAAAATTTGTGCTGTTACCGATGTATTAAGTCGAACGCCGAGTGTGCAAAATAAACTTTAAAAAATACTCCAAAAATAAACATACGTAATTACACTCCTTAAATGTTTGGAACAAATTTTGTTTATTATTCACGAAAACATTTCAATCATTCACATTGAACAAGGCCATGGCCTTCTATTTTACAAAACAAAAAAACAAATTGTTACTTCATTTTCCGGATGAAAATTGTTAGCTTTATCTACTCGAATAACGAATAAATAGCAACCGTCTTAGCATTTTTATCCAGCAGCGAACTGGGTTAAGACAGTACCCATCAATACAATCGATAAATCGGTGGAGCATGACGACTCAACCGTAAACAACGTATTTCAACGCACATTAAAACCAGTTGATTTTCTTTTTTACATTTTATCACAGTGTCAAAGATAAAAAGGAATACGTAACTACGTAAAAATATTATTAAAACTGCATTTACGAGTTATAAATAACATCCCTTAGTAATTCACCGTCATTGTTACTACACACATCAGAGAATAAATCTCTTTAATGAGTTCGTCCAAACACGACGGTGATTACTAAAGAGATCCATTAATTAGAAGCTACTTTAATACCAAAATTGCCTTGTTACCGAGTGCTAATAAACGTGAAATTCACTTACAATTGTAAGAACCTTTCGCAGGTCGTTGTGTAGGGCAGACACGTCGACTCCCCTGCCGGCGTCGCCGAGTCTTCTAAGTGTGTCTGCCAACGGTCCAGACAGTGCGCGCAGTTGCTGCCAAGATCTGGCATATTGCCTCCGTACCAACTCAATAATAGTCGATGTTAACGCCAAACCAATGAGAATATACAGTGTGCACAGTAACATATACTTAGGTCTTTCTGAAAAAAACATATTTCACATATAAATTTATTTTCCACGTTATGTTATTCAAGATCTTATGCGAGAAACTTACTTGGAACTAAATCGCCGAAGCCAATAGTTGTCATTGTAATGAAACAAAAGTAGAAACCGTCATAAAAACTCCAGTCGTCCTCCCACATTTTAAATAATGCTGCGCCGGCTGACAGATAAACGAAGAGAAAACAAACAGCCCACAAGGCGTACAGTGAACGTTGGCTCGTTGGATTTACTTCCGACATTCGACTGCAGCATTCTAAAAATGGCATTTTTGTGTCAAATATAACTAATTATTTACTTTATTTATAGACAGATATATATTTAAAAATGTTGGGATATTATTTACGGTACGAGAAATAAACGTAGTGGTTATAATATAACTAGCAATTTGCCCCGGCTTCTCACGGTTGATTTCTGGATCTCGACAACAATGCCACCTACCGGGTTCAATAGTGAATCTAAACCATTCTCTAATCTACTTAATCACACACACAAAATTTCATCAATATCGGTCTATCTATTTAGGAGAAGCTCAGTCACATACACATGGACAGAAGAATTATATAATACATAATATACATATAAACTTTTCTTTTAAATTATTCTGTCTATTGGCGAAAATTGCATTAAGATCCGTTGCGTATTTTAAAAGATCTAATCGTACAGACGTCGGGAAGCGACTTTGTTTAATACTATGTAGAGAAGAGATACTCTTTACGAAAAATGTTTTACATTTAATTTCTGATGTACTTAATCATACTCGTATTAAAAAATATACCATCAATTTTCTTTCGTATGTTAATGCAACTGATTAATTTTCTATTTTATCACGTTTAGTATTTATGAAATTCGTTTATCTATTTCCACTATTATTTAATTTAATTAAATACACTAATACTTACTAGGCATGGCAGGTAACTGTTTAGCAGCAACGGATACAACTGTAGCAAAAACTCTGCCTAAATCTGCAATCACTGTGAGCGTCAGCGGTATGCCAATAAGGGCATAAGCGATGCAAAATAATCTTCCCCAAAATGTTTCAGGAACTATGTTACCATAACCTAAAAGGAATACATAACTGAATATGATACATATATTCGATGTGATAAATATAGGGAGAAAATGTAATAATGCCTTTAGGGTCACTCCGAGTCTTGTTTAAAAAAGTGGACTTTATCCGAGCTCTATCAAGTTGCACCGTGGAGGTAAACGCGACGTGACTAGATGCATTAAGCAGGTACACAAAAGTGTATTATATGCTGGTTAGCTTTCTCATAGTCCACATACGCCAGGCATAGCGGCAAATTGTACTCCTCGAACTTGTGTACAACTTGCCGAAGGGTATCAATGACCTCAATAGTGTCGCCCAACGGATAGGTCTTAAGATGAACATGGACAAAACAAAGATCATGTTCAATGTCCATGTCACACCTATGCCGGTAGTTGTTGGGAGCACTAAGCTCGAAGTTGTTGACGAGTATGTTTACCTGGGACAAATAGTCCGACTAGGTAACTCCAACTTCGACCGAAAGGTCAATCGACGGATTCAACTCGGTTGGGCAGCGTTCGGGAAATTACGGCACATCTTCTCATCAGGTATACCTCAAAACTTGAAAACGAGACTGTACAACCAGTGCATGTTGCCATTGATGACCTATGGAACTGACACGTGGTCCTTCACTGCTGGCCGGATGAGGAAGCTCAAGGTCGATCAGCGAGCTATGGAGAGGGCTATGCTCGGAGTTTCTCTGCGTGATAAACTTAGAAATGAGGATATCCGCAGTAGAACCAGAGTGACCGACATAGCCCAACGGATTAGTAAGCTGAAGTGACAGTGGGCCGGCCATATAGCTCGAAGAACCGACAACCGATGGGGAAAAAAGGTTCTCGAGTGGCAGCCTCGTACCGTCAGGCGAAGTGTAGGGTGTCCCCCCACTAGATGGAGTAACGACCCGGTAAGATATGCAGGAAGTCGATGGATGCAGGTGGATCAGGGCCGTGCATTGTGGCATTCCTTGGGGGGGGGGGGGCTATGTTCAGCAGTGGAGTTGTGATGGGCTGTAATGATGATGAAGATGATGCTGGTTAGCAAAATAAGTAAATAAAGAGGGTGTTTGTTTTCTAGACGACACCTGAACTATAAAAGAGCCCTACTACCTCCTAGTATAATAAATTGGTATAGAATCAACTTAAGTATAATAAATGAGTACAGAATCATCCTATTTACGTAATGTCCTTTTTAGTTTTCCGTGTCAAAGTTTACAAAACGGTATATTTACAGAATTACTTACACATACGTCCACACGTCCCTCGCACAAACGTCCTTCGATTCATAAGTGCGTGTGTCTTTGTCACGGTCTCTGAGATGATTTTCTTAAAACAGTGCCATTACCTAGTTATTAAAACGTATAAATACGTATTTTTATTTACAAATTGTAAATGGTTTCTTTACCTCTATAATCAAGTACAAATACAATCTACCTACTAATACTGATTCAGATAATGCTCTTACAGTGATCCACAAGGTTTGTGTTACAAACAATATATATATATTCAAAAAAGTTACTTACTTAGTTGTGGTCTTCGAAAAATATGATTTAACTAAAATTTACGAAATTGGAAAATGCGGTATTTAATTTTTATAATTGTGACCGTGTTTTGAATCAATAATTATTAAACTATTTTTTATCGATATGTCAAAAATATAGATTACCTCCTAAGGAGGTAATCTATGGTCAAAAATTAACTTTGTCATAAGTTCTATCTCGAATATTATACAACATGTAAGCTTATAATATTATGTTCTACGCTACTCTACAAAAATTCTTTATTTATAACACCCGGCACTCTGTTAATTCTTAATCCTTGAGTTGACTTGAATTAACCTTTCACCTATTTAAGTGTTTAATAATGATGATCAAATTTCATTCAAATAACAACAGTATCGATGATGGTACCAAATATACTGCAGTAATTTATTTACCGCAAAATTTCTCCAATTTAAAATTACTAAAATTTTTTTCTGAAAGGATCCGCTAAAATGAAATGCCGTACTAATGTTAAATACACTGGTATGCTTACATGTTCTTACACACCTATAGTAGTGAGCACCGTGGAGGAGAAAAAAACCGCTTGAAGTATACTCCACTTTTCTTCTGACGGTGGAAAATTTCTTTCTACTTCTAAAGACAACCCGCTAGAAGACGCTTCTTCAAGTATCTAAACAAAAATAAGGTTTAACACAAGTACGATGATACCTTGAAAATGAATTTAAACTTAGATTGGTTGGTATTTTGGATTACCCCATATCGTCCACCCATATCGTAAAAAAAATTCATTCAGAAATATTTAATAACCACACGAAGTTCGAGTTTCTCCATTTTTCATATGAAACAAATTCCCGCCAAATGTGAAGTTTGAAAAAAAATATGGGTTTAGTTTTTAATTTAGTTTTTTCTGGCCTTGGCTACTAACGAATTCAAGGTTCGAAAAAAATAGAACGCATTTCTATAACTTTACTTACTTAAAATTCCCAAAACTTATTGATCAACTTAGTATGGCAAATATTACCATATGAGGCGTTCTATAGTGTAGACCTATGTTTAGCAGTAGAATTTTGATAGCCTGCAACGGTAACGGCATGCAATATATATATACATATATTAAATTAAAACGGACGACTATTTGAGCACCAGTGTATTGGCTATCTTTAATACAACGATTGAAGATGATATTATGTTTAAAACAATAGCAATATTAAACAAATGGTACAACGAACTTTAATTCTTATATATCTTTCTTGTTATAAATTCTGTTATCTTAGTCGGAAATATAGAAATCGTTTCGAAAATATGATGGTAAATGATCAGTATCACAAGAAAATAAAAAATGTCTTGTGTTGTATTAAACCTTGGTTATTTTTTCTTACCATGCTAGAAAAACAAATTCTCACCTTTTCGTAAATTGCTAATCGATCGCTAATTAATTTCTCCATGCTGACGAATTCAGTACCATTCGTACCATAATCTGCAATAACACGTATAAGGTTCCATCGTTCTGAAAGCAAGCGATCTCGATGATATTCTTGCTTAGCCATTTCTGCTGGAAACTCCAAAGCTCGGAACACCTGTACAAGAGAAATATCATCCAATTGGTGTACTAAAATGTTTCATATTAATAAACATAAAATATAATCACCTTTTAAAATTTAAGAATTTCGATTGTTTATTATTATTAGGTTAACTTTGTATTAAAATAATTTTGAACAAATGCACTTAAAATACATTTTATTTATTTATTATTCATTTACATTTATAGCTATTTTATTCGATATTACATGCATTAAAAGTTTTCAAACTCCTTTTCAAAAAGGCACACAGAAGATTTTTTTAGTTTAATTATATTTGTATCAGAAATAATTCCCGTATCGCCATGGTCTTTACAAATAGGAATATATGGTGGTGTCAACTTTTGGTGAAAAACAGAATTCCAGTCCATTTCACTAAACCACACGTGATGTTTGATATCATACACCCCCGATTTTAATGAACCAAAACGCTTTGTAGGATCTACAACTAAAAGATTCTTTACTAAAGATTTACAATTCGGTGTCATGCAGTCAGAAGATTTAAATCGACCATCTATGATTTTTTCATAAAGCTTAATTGTTTCAGCGCTATAGAATGGTGGATTTCCAGCAATCATTTCATATACAAGGATACCAAGGGACCACCAGTCAACAGGGAATGAATAACCTTTTGATAGTATAATCTCCGGCGCTAGGTATTCCGGCGTACCACATAATGTCCACGTTCTATTTTTTATCACCTTACAAAAACCAAAATCACCAAGTTTTATATATCCTGATTTAGATATCAGTATATTTTCCGGCTTCACATCTCTGTGTACCACAGAACAATGGTGTAGATATTCCAGTGCTAAAACAATTTGAGCAGCGTAGAATTGCGTTAAAGGTTCTGATAGAACACCTAACTTTTTAATAATATTGAACAATTCACCTCCAGCTTCAAATGATAATACAAAATAAACATAAACATTGTCTTTACAACAAAAATCTAATGAAATTAAAAAGGTAAAGTTCACACTTTGCAGTATTTTTCTCTCACGATTAACCTGTTTCAGGGAATTCTTTTTAACAATCTCGGCTTTCTCCAATGCTTTCATTGCATAATAAGTTAAACTAATTTTGTCACGTACGAGAAACACTGTTCCATAGGAACCAACACCTAATGTTTTGATTTTATCGAAATCATCGACCGATTTATCGCATGGCATAGGATTTGCATATATCTTCATAAACTCTTGTTTTAAAAAATCTAAATAATGTTTGTGATTAACTTGCAAAGCATTTGTATAAGGTAAATCGGTTTCCAAGGCTTTTCGAGATGAAAATGTCATCTTGCCATGTCAAACATAGCATAAAAACCAATTCTCCGTATAGTTTGATAGCATATTCTGCGATATAAAATATCTTTCATAGGTTACATTTAGCTCAGAGTAAGTACAAGCAAGTATGTTATTACTCTATGATATTGAGGTAAAAAGATGTCTTCGTAATTTTATTGTATAAAAGTATAAAAAATAACTTTACTTTAAGACTCTTTTTTCAAAATTCCTAACATATTAATAGTTTTTGAGTTATTAACAAAAACTGGATATTTTTTATATAGAATAGGGTGACAAACGAGCACACAGTCCACCTGATGGTAAGTGGTTGCTGTGGCCCATAGACAACTACATCTATTCTCGATTAAGAATCAAAACGCAGATGCGTTGTCACCCGTGAGGACTAAGATGTAATACCTCGTTTCCAGTAAAAAGAGTCTCCGGTTCTCTACACTCACCATACGAAACGCGTTAAGCTGCTATTTTACAATAGTATTCAATTATTTTTTTCATATTATTTTGTTAATAACTAATCTGTTAATACAATTTTTCTAGGGATCATTGCGAATCCAATGAGCTATCATCGCTCATATTTTTAGAAGCTTTATGTTTATTTTTTACGTTTTTCAAGGCAAAAACGTTGTTTGACCAGACTACTAGTGCTCACTAACTTCAGATATCAGCCCCGTAAAAGTCGTTTGCTGCACTTGAGCCCCTACCAAAGAGAATATAATCACTTGGCCCCTACCTTGTATTCTCGTTGTATTCAATCGTCACGCTTGGCAGGTAGGTTGACCAGACATCAATTGGACGTGGTTATGCAAAAAGGATCCAACCCGAATTTGTGTCAAAAATGTTGACTTGAAAAATAATTTTTGTGGTCTATACTATTACGTGATGTAACAATTTTAGCAAACGTAACACAAATAAGAAGAATAATTACAAACAGACAGAAACCATACCGATAATTGGAGTTTATGATATTTGAAGTATGGATACTTCAAATATCATAAACTAAAATTAACTTATCGCGGGTTGGATCCCTTTTGCATAACTACGTCCAATCAACACTGACGCTGCTGCTTGTCTATGGTCTGGGTATATTACGCTTAATGCAAACGAAATGGAATAACATCTTTTATAATAAGCCATACGATAATTTCTGGTATTTCCCACAGGTATCTTATACCCCGTCATACAATAATTTATTTATAACAGTATAGTGTTAAAAGAGCAGTCATAAAAAGCAGTCCGCCTGAAATAATGTTGTCACTGTAGCCCACACCACCTACAATCAATTTCAAACAATAAAGCCACGGGTACGTTTTCACTTGGAATTACAATTTTATGCTTCAGAAGCTGTTTTTATACTAACTCTTCATACCTTGTAAACCAAACCACAGCAATGGGTTATTGCAGTCCTGATAAGATTTCTACGTGGTAGAGCCATGCTGCAGCTATATTAGTAGTATAGTTGTAGCACGAATGGGTCGGCTCGACTGGGATAGGACTACGCTCTCACAGAGTGCCAGCGTAAAATAGCAGCTTAATACTGCTGTGTTTCGTATAGTGAGTGTAGAGAACCGGCGACCCTTTTTACTGGAAACGAGGTATTCCATCTTAGTCCTCACGGGTGATAACGCATCTGCATTTTGATTCGTAATTGAGGAAAAATGTAAATGTCTATGGACCATAGCAACCACTTACCATAAGGTGGACTGTGTGCTCGTTTGTCACCCTATCCTATATAAAAGGACAAAACAATTAAGAGGGTGACACCTTCTCAGGCAGTCCAAACGCCAACAGAGTTTTGTCTGTTTATTTAACAGTTTATGTTATCTCTACTGCCGATTTTAAAATAAATCAGTGTTTAAAGTCTCGGTAAACAATTTCGATAGCTGGCGTTAATCGTCGTGGATCTATTTTCTCATAACCTTTGAGGCTTAAATGCGGCAAAATGCCCAAATGACACGCGTAAGCTAGGATTTTGGCTCACATAGTAGATTAATATCTAACTGTTCTCGTCCATTAGAACCTTTTCAAAGTCTAATAAGTTTGCGATGACGAGTGAAGCTATGGCAAGTGTTAGGTTTCGTGTAATAAAGAGTCAGTCACTCGTACTCTTAAATGTCCTAGGATGACTTTGTTTTTGTGTTTCTATTACCAATAGTTTATATGTAGTTACCATATTTTTATGCGTAAATATACAGACATATAAACTTTCGCGGTATGATTTTTTATTATTTTTGTATAGCTTGCCTTGCCTGGCTGAGCTCAAGGCTACTTGAAAAAGTCGAAAGCAATGAATGCAAACGAATTAGCTTTTACGTAGGTATATCGCAAAATTATTACATTTCAAGACCCGCCGTAGAACATCATGATTTGCCTGATAATACAATTATGCAACAAGAAAGATATTTCTTAGCACTGGTTAGTACTCTAATAAAATTGCTAAAATTTTTATAGAAATCCTATGTAATAACGTTAACATTAAAGAAAATTGGTAGAGAAAATTCACATATATGCATATTATATACTGTGTATATTTCAAAGTTATTTTTCAAAGAGTAGCCAAATTATAAACTTAAGTTCAAATATATAAATACTGATATACTAATATTGCAGTTTCTGAAGATACGAGTACATAAGGCTTCTACTTTAGTTTGAAATTATCCCAAATTGAACGTGATTTATGGGCAACAACGTTTTTGCCTACCGGTCAACCCTTACGAATGTGTACGTGTGCAAAAAAATTTGTTAAAATCATGCATTACGTTTTGATTTTAATATATAAATTGGACAGAATGTTTGAGATTTTTTTAATTAATATTTGTTAACTATTTGTCTATATTACTTATTCTGAACCTTCTCTCCAAATTTGGTCGGTTATTGGAAAATAAGCATGTATAATATTAATATTTTTTTTTACCTTGAGATTGGGACCCGTATCATAAGAATATATTTACTCCTAAAATTTCGCATTCAAAAAAATCTCATTCGATAAAACACTAAAATTTATAATGCTGTTACATATTGTGGGGCAGACAAAGTGATATAAGCAACGCTTTCCTGGTATAATAATGGAATCCTAAATCCTTATTGGTATCGAAAATGAAATAATAGTAAAAACGGTCAATATTTATATTTTTTTAAATATTTAAATTATATTTACTTAGGCATCTCAAGCTATAACATTAACAATCTTTAAAATATATATTATTATTATTATAAAGTCATCCTAGCTATGTTATATTAACACATAATAAAATTAAACAATTGATTACAAATCTATCTAAGAATATAAAAAATAAACTGATATGCACAAACTGTTTAAAGAAAATTATCTACAACATTCAATTTATAAGAAAAATGATTAATAAAACGTTTTTAACCACGCAGTTTGATTTAAGTTTATAATTTAACAATGACTCTAAAATTAAAATTCTTCGAATTCTTTTTCATACAAACATCTGGAACAATTTTTTAGTTTATGCAAAGATATTTCGGAAAGATTATCCATATCATCATCTGATGAAATTAACGGAACATAAGGCGGCTCTACGGTTTGTTGCAAGATTGAATGCCAGCAGATAGTATGAAACCAAGGATGACTTTTAACTTCATATGCACCATCTTTTAAAGAACCAATTCGCTTTGTCGGATCCAATTGAAGCAAGCTCTTAATGATTTTTTTACAATCTGAATTTATTACGTCAGGAC